GAGATATACTAGATTATTAAGCAAGGCCTCTTACTATAATTGGCTCTAGTTCAAAGACAGATGTAGAAATCAGAAGGACAAATTGTGAATTCCGGTAGTTGGAATTCATCCGCGAAGAAATGGGTACATTACTACAAAGTCACAGTACTGGGCTAAATAATTTGAATCCAAAGAAGACTTTTAGTACAAAAATTATTTAACATTCACTTACTGCCCTGACACTTCTAGGGGTAAAATGTGAAATTTTTCATCACCCCCAGAGCCAACAGAGGTGACTAAGGGCAAACCATTCGATCACTCTTGGTTGCAGTTTCTTTGTCAGTGAAACATGAAGGCCACGCTCAATGAAGTCTAACACCACTGAGAGTCCACAGCTGCCACCTCGCACAGTAACACATCTCTCCACCTCCCAGCACAGGGGCAGCTCCCCCGAAGCAGCTCAGTATGATTCTGGGCTCCGGCCTCAGAATGGCCTGAGTTCAAAACCCGTGTGCTCTACTCACCAGCTTGAGGACCCAGGACAAGTTACTCCACTTTTGTGTGCCTCGGCGCCCTCACCAGCTAGAGACAATGCACCCGCAGAGGCTAGCTGAGCGTTGGGCTCACAGAAAGTGCTCAGTGAGTGCTGGCAGCTGTTACTGTTGTAAAATGACCACAGCAGGCCAGCCTGAATCGGAACCTAAAGGGGAGGCAAACGGGAACCACCCTGCAACTCCACCCGAGGATAAACTTTTAACCATCAGACCAATAGCCTCTGGAGAAACTGTCATTCCCCGTGGTGATCAAATGGCCTCTTGATGAGCTCAAGTTCACAGGACGCATGCACTGTAGAGGCCAGACCTGTGACCTTTAAGGACCTCCCCAACTCTGGCATTTAAGATCTGCAGACCTCATCTCACAGTAGGACACTTATGATAAGACACATGGCACTGCTGAGAGGCACCACTAAAGACCTCACTATCGAGCTGTAACTACGAACCCCAGGGCCAGTCCTGCCCAGCCCTATCTTTCATCATTAGCCAATTTTGGATCCCAAATGGGTAACTAGGTTTTGTGACTACATTTGCATATGTCTGTTTATCTAAAATGAAAATGGTATGCTCACCTGATTAGGGCTGTAGGGAAAAATGACCATGAGCCCAGCTGGTGTGGCTCAATGATTGAGCATTAACATATAAACCAGGAGGTCATGGTTCAATTCCTGGTTGCGGGTTCGATCCCAAGTAGGGGGCGTGCAGGAGGCAGCTGATCAGTGATTCTCTCTTATCACTGATTTTTCTCTCTCTTCCTTCCTCTCTGAAATATATACACTGAGTGGCTAGATTATTATGATCTCTGAATACATAATAATCTGGCCCCTCAGGTGTGTGTGTGTGTGTGTGTGTGTGTGTGTGTGTGTATCATACACACACACACACACACACACACACACACATATATATATTTTTAGAGGCCTGGTGCATGAATTCGTGCATGGGTGGGGTCCGGCCAGCCTGGCCAGGGGGAGAGGACATAGGTGGTTGGCCGGCCTGCCTGCAACTCCTGGTCAAGGGGAGAATTTGCATATTAGCCTTTTATTATATAGGATATATACTGAGTGCCAGCTTATTATGCATTCAGAGATCATAATAATCTGGCCACTCATTGTATATATAAAATGACCATGAAACTCTCCCAGGAAAGAATACCAATTGTATCCCAATTTATAAATTAGGCAATTTACAAAATAAGACCTAGAGAACTTCTGCAGTTCTTTCTTTTTCATCCTCCGTATGCTCAGGTTCCTTCTTTCTCTTCCTTTCATGATGGGAACAGGGGTCAGCCCGCTATGGCCTGCAGGCCAGGTCCACCCACAGCCTGATTCCATAAATAATGTTTCACTGGAACTCGGTCGCTCCCACTTGTTTACAGACCATCTGTGGGGCTTTCGGCTACAGGGCAGGGCTGAGTGGTTGTGGCCTGAGATCACTTACCACCTGGTGCTTCACAGAAAACGTCTGCTGCCCTGTGGCCCGGAACACAGCTAGCTCACAGGAAGTAGCCCATTAATGGAATAAATAGTAATGGCTATCACCTCATTCAATACCCAACAAATATTTATGAAATGCCCAAGTGCCAGGTTCTGGAAACACATGAGATGGGACCACAAAGGTGAGGGTGTCAGACAGGGCCTCTGCCCCCTGGTGCATGCAATTTAGTCAGGAAAGATAAAACAAGCACAGCCAACAGTTACTATTCACAGTTGTGCTGCGTGTTTAAAAAGGAAAAAGGACAGGATGTTGCGGGATTAAATAAAAGGAAGATCCGGCCCTATCTCAGGACTTCCCCAAGCAACTGCCATTTCATCTGAGCTAAAACCTGGATGTGGATTTCCTGGCTCTGAACTGACAGGTTCGTTCATGAGGGCTCCTGGATGCCACGTGAAATGGGAATGAACTCTAGTATGCTTTCCAGTCTGGGCTGACTCCATCCATGCCACTAGCTATGCAGTGCAAGGACCGGGGACTGTAATAAAGTTTAAGACACTTGACTATTCCATCTCCAATCAGGAAAGCCAAGCCAATCAATCAATCATAAGTCATGTGCACTAGCTGGAGCCCTGATACCAACACGTGACCGGGAGACAGTTCTCTAACCAGCTCCGGCCCTTTAAGCACAGACAACCAGCCTCACTGAGTCACACTAACTTTCACACTTGGGGAGATTTGATGGAGCATAAACAGATACCCTGAAGCTCTGGGGCACTTCTGGCTGTCATGTGGGTTTGAAGTTCCTCAGTGCTGCCTGTCAAGATTGAACAAGTGGCTTAAGCATTCACATGCTCTGCTTCCCAAACCTGTGAAGGCTTGCTGAGCCATGCCAGCATTCTCTGGGAACACGGACCATTCCCCAACCCTGAAAACTGGCAGGTCCTTCCAGACCAGGTGAGTGCTGAAATAGATGGAGGAAGGATGTAAGGAGCAGGAAGAAGTGTTGCAGAAGAAAGGTGGTTTATAAAGTCTTCTTCACACTTGCTATCTCTGGTTCTTCCTCAGAGCTCTGCTGGCTGAAGTGGCAGATCTATCCCTCTGTTTAGAGAAAATGGAAGTGCAGGGAGATCAGGCATCTACCTTCAGGTCAGGAGCATGTCAGCGAGAGCCCAGGCCTTAGAAGATGCAGCAACTGATCCAAAATTATCTGCTTGAGGCCATGCCTGCAAAACTGTTCACTTCATTGAACTGCACAGCCCCACTAAATGTAGGGGTCATCTGTAAAGAGGATCCGTTAACTTAAGGCAAGAAAATGTTCTTGACTTAAGTGATACCACCTTGGCAGGCTCCCACGGACAATTCCTTCCCCTTTGCCCAGGTGGGTCTGGGTGTCTGGCATGGTCCATGGATTGGCCAGTGTGAGCATCTGCCCGCTGCTCCAAAAACCTTTGTGTATCACAGCCAACGGTTACCTCCAACACGTCTCCATCAGAGTAAAAGAGAAGTCAAAGGAGTCAGAGATCAACTGTATTACACCAATTTTCATGAAGAGTACCTAATAGTGAAAGGTTCCCTGGATATCCTCCTACTTGGAAAAAAAAAAGGAAGACGGGAAGAAGGCCGGCAAAGAATAATTCAAGCATTCTTAAGTTGCTTCTATTCTGATAGCAGTTTTAAAAATAATTTTTCCAAATGGCTTGAAATGACAGAATAAGTTGGGTAAATCTCCCAACATGATGAGGAAATATTGAGCTAAAAAGAATGATTTTTTAGAATGTATTTTTACTGATTTCAGAGAGGAAAAGAGAGGGGGAGAGAGAGAAACATCAACAATGAGAGGTAAGTTCTTGGGTATCCTGGAACACAACTTGGTTTTATCCTGGAATTACACCAAACCCCATCATTCCATGAGCACAGCCTGGGATAAGAGGCTAGAACCAATGCCCATCAGATGCAACTAACTGGATTTCCCATGTTGGCCTGAACTAAGTGAGAGAATAATATCCCCCGACAAGAAGGCAGAGGATCAGCAGAGCGACATTGCTGACAGAACTACCACCAGGACTCTACTCAGGCAGCTGATCACCCGACAGCCAGGTGCTACATGCAGGTACCACAGGTGACTCGTTTTCCAAAGGAAAGCTCAGAGGAGGCGGTAATCTGCTGTACCCCCAGGAAGAGATCCATTCTGTAGGAAAGTAAATAATTCAAGATGCTGATGGAGCTCTCTATGGGAACCTGTACCACAGGGCAGGTCACTGCTGCAAGACGACGAGAAAGGCTCTGATGGAAAAGCCCTGGACAGCATTAGTGTCCATCCGCCAAAACAAAACTTAAAAACGAAGCTGAGACTAATCCCTGGAGTGCGATCAAATCCCTGTAGGAGCAAACGTGGGGGGAACAAGGAGCTTACCCCAACCAAATAGTACTGCACTCTAAAAACTTAACCAATGATTTCCCTGCCTTGAAAATGCAGGGCTGTATTGAAGGACCGGCAATAGAATTTCACCACCACCACCCCGTTGTTGAGATTTAAGCCAGAGAAATGAATTCAGTTTTCTAAACAGTCTTTTAAAAAAGTTGTATTTTTACGTTTCTGACCTGTACAATGAATTTGCAGAAATTTTAACCCTGACCGACGGTTTCTCAAAAACCCATTTGATCCTCTCATTTGCTTTTGGTGAAATTAACACAATATCCTCCCAATAATCTGGAGGCACACTGTTTATTTCATTCTGGGCAGATGTGGGCTCAGTGATTTTTGGCAACGAGAGTCACATATGCAGATATATTGTATGATGTGATCCTTCAAGTGGCCCAAGTTAAAAGTCAGAATAAACATTACTGAAATAATACCTAATAACTTTGGCATTATCTCTGGCAGACCTAGGAGGCCCAACAGCTTATGTGCTAAATTAAAACACAGAAAGCACACAGCACAAAACCTGCTTAAAATTTTACATGCTTTTTTGTTCAGCCCCCTGAGTTTTAAAAATACCAACTTTGGGATAGATAAGCATGGAGACTCACTCTGGGAAGCATACAGGCCCTCCACGGCTCTGTCTTCATGGCTGTCATACTCCCTACTGGACAGCTGTCTGTTGGCAGTCTCCAGTCGATCTGTGCAAAGAGAGAAAAGGATTATGAAGAAATGCATATGGATCTAAGTCATCATCAACTGAGAAATGACATGGGAGCCAAGAGCTGGGTATAAAAAGGTGCTCAGGCAGGAGCCCCAAGTTGAACAACTTTTGGGGAGGAACAATCCATTCCAAAATGTCAAAAGAAGTCTTCAGGTGCCACGCTGTGCCTCTATGCAATGGAATGCCAAGATATGCACCCGCAGGAGGCTGCTAAGAACAGATTCCAAGAAAAACTGCTTTGCTGCCTATGAGCAAACCTCTGATATGAAGTCCTTGCAAAGGGTTGACTCCTTGGCCCCAAACTCAGCACTAGTCTAAGCCTGACCATGAGACCTCTGTTTTAGCCCATGAATGCTACCTGTATGTATCTTGGAACAACAATTAAATAAATACCAAAAAAAAAAAAAAAAAAAAGTCAAAATGACCTAATGGATGAAGATTCTACACAGTTAGTTCTACATTTGTTCAAACCACTTGGCAAATTTTCATTTATTCAATTAAATAATTTGGCTTAATAGGTCTTCATGGAATGTTCATGATATGCAAGATAAAAAGGTTTATAATAATAAAAAAGTTGGATCTAGAGACTATATACAAGGCAACTGAAAAATGGCTCGGCTGACTGAAAGTGAAGTTAAATTTTATGCACTAAGTCATTCTGTATGTTGGAGGTTGCCAAGACCCTGTAGCAGGTAACTCGTACTTTTGGGGAAGTATATACATATACTAGAGGCCTGATGCATGAAATTTGTGCAAGAACAGGCCTTCCTTCCCCCAGCTGCCCTGCACCAGCTTCCCTATGGCTCCTTGCAGGCACCCGGGACCAGGGCTTCCCTTGTAGCCCTGGCTTCGTCTGAAGGTCACCCAGTCTAATTAGCATATTACACTTTTATTATTATAGATACACATCTATCAGCCTATCGGCCTTTATTTTTCCACCAGAGGGACACATGTTGAGTCTGTCTTCTACACTATACCAAGCAAGTGTTCATTCAGCCTGGGCTTTTACAGCATGCCACCGAATGACTCAGCATGTGTGAAAAGGGCTGTGCATCTAGCACTGGTCTTTTCAAAGTTGCCACTCACATAGTCACAAGTCACAGTGAGGACTTTTCAAGCAAGAAGCAGCTGCACACCTACTTCCTCACTTAGCATATAGGCTGTCACTTCTCAGGCTCAGTGCTGAAGCCTACACCCTACAAGGCAGAAAGCAACATTTCTGTTCTATGAGAGCCCTTTCCCAGGTGGTTGGAATTCCCAGGGTTATTTCACATAGCCGGGACCTGAAGTCAGGCTGTTGGTCACACAGCGCTTTGGGGTAGAGAGAAAACACGAACGGAAGCTGACGTGCCTCGGAGGTCCCTGTTGAAGTCGTGAAGTCTTCGAATCTCGCCCTCCAGTTTGTTTCTCATCGCTTTGTCCAGTGACTCTCGCTTGGTGGTGGACTTGACCAGACTCTCATAGGCTTCAGAAATCCTCTGAAGCTCTTTTTCAAACTACAAGAAAGAAGTGACATGAAAGTGGGACTCTGACATTCACATCGGTGCCTTAGTTACACCAACTCTTAAAAAAAAAAGTTTATATTGATTTCAGAGAGAGGAAGGGAGACAGAGAGAGACAGAAACATCAATGATGAGAGAGAATCATTGATCAGCCGCCTCATGCACACTCCCTACTGGGGATCGAGCCCACAGCCTGGGCATATGCCCTGACTAGGAATCGAATCATAACCTCCTAGTTCAACTACTGAACCACACTGGCCCGGTCTACACTGACTCTTTGACATTCCAAGTGTGAAAGCTATATCTTCAATGTGGTCTTTTCTGCATCTCAAGTTTCATGTCTACCAAATGGTGTAATCAATTTCACCCCCACCCCCACCTGCCTTCTGAGGGCTACATTAGGGTCCTGCAAATAGCAGGCTCACAACTCTGGCTGGACCACCTGATGTCACCTTGGGAAAATCTCCCTGTACCAATTCTAGAAAGGGTGAATTTAAACATAACTTAAGCCTCTTATATTTTACAACTATTAGCAATTTACAACTCTAACTAGAGGTCTGGTGGATGGATTCATGCACTGGTAGGGTCCCTCAGCCTGGCTTGCACCCTCTCGCAATCTGGGACTCCTCGAGGGATGTAGTAGTACGAGAAGTGGCAGGTGGCCAGAGAGGAGCCTGAGCCAGGGCCTGCACCACACCACACCCACTCATCCCGGCCTACTGTGCTTGCCACCACCGCTGCTGCTGCTAGGTAGCGCTGCAGAGGAGGTGGGAGAGGCTTGTGCCACCACAGCTGTGCTTGCCAGCCATGAGCCCAGCATCTGGCCCCCACTGGTCAGCTGAGCATACTCCCGATATGGAGCACACTGACCACGAGGAGGCAGCTCCTGTATTAAGCGTCTGTTCCCTGGGGGTCAGTGTGCTTCATTGCTACTGGCCGGTCGTCCGGTCGCTTAGGGTTTTATACGTATAATTATTCCCAGTTAACATAAGGGAAAATATTAAACACAGAACAACTGAAGGACCACAACTGGAACCCAAATTTTCAGACTCCAAATACAGTGCTCATCCAGAAAACTTCCTTTCATGTTCCCATCCCCAAAGAAACATAAAACGCACTTGAGGAAATGCTGCTTTACTTATCATTTTTACTCCTTTTTCTATGAAACTATCTATAAAAAGGACTAGTGGACTTGAATCTAATTATAAACAAATGTACCACAGACAATCCCTTTGTATGAAGGAATTGAAAAATATGGGATTAAACCATTTTTTGTTGTTGCTGTTCTTTTTTTGTATTTCACTAAATCAAGAGCTGTAAATGGGAGAGCATATAATCTGTGGCATATATAAATCTATAATTGGTAGCTCTAACTGTTTTAACAGGAGTCTAACTTATAGTAAGTTTCTGAAGTAGCTATCAATAAACCACCTTTAAGTGTTGTGCGACCTAAATAAATGCAGGAGAAAGGATAAAGAGTGCCTGCAAACACAGAACCTTGGAGAACTGTTAAAAGTTGGAATCAGAGGCAAGACAGGCAGGGTTGAGAGAACTAGTGCCACTCATTGGACACCAAGGGACTTGCACCATGTTTTTTGGTCTCCATTGGTGAGCTATGTCACCAGGAGGCAGGCACCCCAATTGCCCTGATCAAAAGTCCCTGCTGAGGTTCCTATAAACAAAACACGTCCTAACAGGTGTCTATTGTACACTCACTGTGTGTCTGGGTGCCAAGGATATCTTGTCTTAGGAACTCAATGTTTAGAGTTGGCTGCACTCAGACACATCCACTTCAGTAAAGCAAAGTCATAAGGGGTGTGGTGGTGTAATGCAATGCTGGAGCCGGGAGACAAGGTCATTTTGCAGGGCTGAGAGGAGTTTCTTTAGATAAGATTTCAGGGAAGATGCCATTGAAAATGAGTCTTGAGTGATGAATAGGGATTTTGCCAAGCGGAAAAGAAAAGGCCAAAGGGCATTGGCATTCTAGGCAGAAGATGGGACCTGAGCCAAGGCCTTGCCATGAAAGTGCATGTCTCTGTGCTGGGAGCCAGGGCCAAGTGGAAGGACTTTATGGGAAAATTATGGGAAGACACCTCCCATATAAGCATAAGGGCAGCATGGTCTTACCTGAGGTTTTACAGAAATAAACTCAGGATGGGATTGGAGAGTGGGGGTGGGGAGAAAAGGCAGGAGAAAAGAAGTCCAAGGAAGAAGCTAATGTAAACAGCTCAATGACCAACGACAAAGCGTGACTAGGGTAACTACAAGGGCAGATTCCAAAGACTTTGAGGAGTAGAACCAACAGGTCTCAGTAATGGTCTGAACTGGAAGGGAGAAAGATATCAAAGACAGCACAGACATTCATTGCTCAGAAGACAGAACAATAAGATTGACCGAGATCAATGGTTGAATTTAAGAGCAACCGGTTTAGCAAAGAAAGAAAACCAATCCAGTGCCGGAGTTACTGTGTCTGGGGAGCCAGCAGAACATCTTGGCAAAGATTTCCCCTTAGTAGGAGGAGATACAGGTGGGAAAGTAAGGAAAGGAACTGTCATGTGCAGAAGACATGAAATCAGACAGTGGAGACCACTCAGGGAGAGCAACAGCAGATGAGAGGGCCACCCATGGGGAGCATCAACACTGCAGGAGTAAGGGCGGCAGAGGAACCAGTGGGAGAGGCTGAAGCCAGTGATGCCATGAGTCGGGAAGCCAAAACTTAAAGGAGAGAAAATGTGGTTAGTGCCCCAGGAAGCTACAATAGAGCCAAGATACATCCGAGGAGAGGACAGGGAAAGGCTGGGAGCTGCAGGGTTTCTTTAGTGGCAGCTGACCAGGGCAGCAGAGTCGAGAACACTAGGGCTCCTGTCGGTACTATGTTATTTTCTCCAAGGCCTCCTAATACCAGAGTTGATACTTCCATGGTCCTTTCATTTCCATAAGGCCTGTTTTTCCTAAAGGGATTAAGACTGTCAGTAATGCAGCAGCAGACAGAACAGCATGTCCTGAATCTTGTTTGTAGCTCTATCACAAATCATGTTCTTTCTTTTTAATGTATCTTGTTTTCAAAAGAGATGGCTCCAAAATACCACCGCTGCTATGCTAGTTCTAGTTCAGAATAAGATACTTCCTGTGAGAATTGTCAGCTGCCACAATGGAGACAGATTAGTCTCCTTTATGGTAGTCATAGAGGACAGAACGATGACCATAGGTAGGAAGTCAAAATGATGCAGATTCTGAGTCAACATAAGAATTTCGTAACTACATTTTCCAGGAGTGGACTATGCCCAGGAGTGAGCTTCTCACCCCTGAAAGCATTCAAGTAAAATAAATAAATAAATAAATAAATAACCTCCTTTCAGGACATGACGCAAGGATTCCTAAGGGGTGGGAAATTGGACTAGAACCATTCTCGGAATTCCAAGTCCAAAGCTCTCTGAGTTCTAATTGCGCACGCCTTCAGAACAAGAACCTCACCTTCTTCTTCAAATCCCTCGTGTTCAGAGCACCTTAAGCCCTCCCTGACGCTTGTTAAAGATGAAGACAAGGCTGGACAGACTGACTTTGACATAATCACCCACTGGGCCAGGTCAGAGCCTGAGCGTGCTCTTACGAAGAGAACGCGGGCTTTGCCTTCACAGATCTAGCCTCCCTTCTGGCCCAGATGTCGGCAAGCTCTTAGGCCAAGGGCCCTTAAACTCACAGAGAAGCACTCATTCTCCCAGAAACAGAGCCACGAGCAGACTGGAAAGCCCTGGTGCCATGAAGCCAATAGGCTGACAAGGGCCCTGAGGAAATCTCAGCCATGCCAAGCTCTGGGTCCTGGCTTTTCCCTGAGCACCTTCCTATGCACAGCTCAGGGACCCACAGGGTCCAGGGCAGGCCTACTGTCCAAGTCCCGGATTGCCCGGTCGGACAACTGAGCAGTGAGGCCGAGCCAAGGTGAGGCCTGGGATGGTGACAACCTTGGGCACACAGACGTGGAATGCTGAGTCCCAGGCTTCCCGGTCAGAGCCAGCACTGCTGAGCTGACAGGAGGGGGGCTGCACAGCAGCAGGCCCGGGGTCACCATCGATGCCTCACATGCCATCCTGCCCTGTCCTTCCAAATGTCCGTCGCCCTGTTGGCTTCTGAGGCCAACCCACTGGACAAAACACAGAGTGGTCCTGCTGGGCGTGCTGTCCACTGATTCTGTGTCAGGGAAACTGGGAGGAAAGCGAAGCACATGAGTGAGTAAAAGGAAACACTGGAAAACAACCTCCCTTCCTGAGGGTCCTCAGCCCTCATTTCAGCACCAACAGGGAAAATCGCCACGTCCTGCCTCTGGAAGCGGCCTCCCCATCTGGGCTGTGCGCTGGCATCTCTGAGCTCGGTCGTTCTTTCCTGCCATGTTCCAAGCACAGCGTGCACGGGCTAAGCCTGCAATCAAACCTTCTTCTGTTTTCGGTTCGGCCCTCCCACTGAATCTCTCTGAGCACGCCCAGTGCGCGAGGATCCAGTCCGGATGTTATTGCTGGCACAGGGCAGGCAGCACATCCTACAGTCAGCGCAGTGGCTCCACCCCTAAGTGACAGTCCCCATCACTGAGAAGCAAAGTAGTCACCTGACAGTCCCCTTTCCAGACCTGAGGCCTGAGCAGGGGCTGAGAGACAACTGAACAGTGAGGCAGAGCCAAGGGAGGCCTGGGGCAGGATGAGCTGGGCACGCAGCCAGCCTGGGAATGCTGTCAGAGCTCACCCAGCTCCTCTGGCTCGTGGTCCTAAGTTGTCGAGAACGGCTACACAACTAGTGATGGGCACAGCCAGTGTCTGTTAAAACTTGAGCTTTTAAATTGACATATGAGCCTTTCCAGTCTGATGTGTGGTAGGTCAATAAAAGATAATACCTATAGAACTATTTATGGTTGTCAAGGGACTGGAGGCGTTTTGGGTTCCAGAAGGCAAACAGCTTCTATTTTTCTCCTTTTCCAGAAGTCATCGAAATCCTTTTGGTCACCAAGTTGAAGAATCATCCCCTGTGCAAGGAATTGAGTCACTGGGAGATGAATTTTGTTTTTCAAAATAGAAATGTAAGCCCTAGACAGGTAGCTCAATTGGTTAGAGCGTGGTCCAGATACACTAAGGTTGTGGATAAGATCCTCGGTCAGAGCACATGTAAGGATCAACCAAATGAATGCAACCACAAAACTGATGTTTCTATGTCTCTACCTTTCTCTCCCCCACTCACACCTTCCCCTCTCTCTAAAAAATAAATTAAAAAAAAATAGAAATGTATATCACAATCAAGAAAGAAATGCATGTTACAAGTCGGTAAAGTACATATTAATAAACAAGTCACTGGAGCATATCAAAACCTCCCAATCTCTGCCACCTCCATGAAACTGTAAAAACACCCATGTGAAAATACTCGGAACCAAACCCTGCCCTCAGGTGGGTCTGCGTGGCGTCTGGACGCGTGTGCCACAGAGCTCCATCAGGGAGAAGAAGGAACCGCTTGTTTCGCAGAAGTGCTGAGCTGGTGCTTTCCAGTGTGAGACCGTGCCCTGGGAGGTGCCAGAGGCAAGCTGGGGCCTGAGCAGCGATCACAGCCAAGGCCGGAGACGCAGGCTGTTTCCTGCCTCCTGCGGGTGTGCCTGGAGTGAGGCGGCACTCCCGGCAGCCGTGTGTTTCTGGCTCTCGTTTTCCCTCCAATAAAGGCAGCCAGGGCTCTCTGAGCCAAGCCTGGTCTTGACTCAGGACCATTTCGGTGGAAGCTCCGTGCAGACGCGCTGGGGCAGATTCAGTCCGTGCAGGTATCTATCATCAAACCCACTGCTCCCAGCGGTCTACACCAGCCTCAAAAACTCAGAGGAGCTGACTGCGCTGACCCCTGACCAGCAACGCGGGCAGGCTTCCCCTGAGGGATCAATGCTAACAGTGACCACCAAATGGCCAGCCAGGACCACTACCTGTCACACAGAACCCAGTGACCGTGGTTTATATTCTTCCCTTTCTGATGGTCCAGGGCGGAGCCAGGGACTTAGACTCTTATAAGATGCCTTCCGCCACACACGCTTCCTTGCCTGCAGAGAGGAAACTGCAGTGCCCTGTGGCTCTGCTGCCTTAAGACACCCATTTCCTTTGCCCCCCTCACATCTTCTGTTCTACCTGCAGCACTTTGAGTGCTGACCTTGCTGGATGTTTTCCTATCAACTCGGGCTCTCAGCGTCAAGCCCTATGGCTAAAGGCTGCCATACCCTCTAATATGCTCACGATACGACCCAGGCTGGAATTACACAGCATCTTCCCACCTGACAAGTCACCAGCACAGAGGGAGGACACAGTGACTCGACCTCGACCCTCAGTGTTGAGACAGCACTGAGAATGGGCTAGCTGCTTTCGCAGACACAGCTAAGGAAACTAGCATGGCGATCAGAGGGCTCCTGAGAGTCCCAGATTTAACAGAAACCTGTCTCTTTCCACTCATTCCCTGTGCTACGCTGGGCGTCCCCTCTCCCACACTGTCCACCTGGGAAATACTCCTTAGCCTCTGAGTCTCCGGTCCAGGGCCACCTCCGCTGTACCCACCGGAGCCCCTGGAGTGCCACTGCAGGTATGAGCTTAGGCAACTTTCCCCTTTTGGACTGTAAGCTGTAGGCAGGCACCACGCCATATTTATGTTTTGTCTCCGAGCCTTACATGGTACCTGGCATAAAAAGGGATCTAGTTAACTGCTGGCAAGGGGTCAACGAATCAGCCCCCCAACAAGCAGGTAAAGAATTCTGTCCTGCTCAGCCAGTGTACCTCAGTGGTTAAGTATCGACCTATGAACCAGGAGGTCATGGTTCGATTCCTCATCAGGGCACATGCCAGGTTTCAAGCTCAATCCCCAGTGAGGGCAGGAGGCAGCCTATTAATTCTCTCTCCCCCCAACCCCAGGCTCTACACACACACACACACACACACACACACACACACACACACTGAGTGGCCAGATTATTATGATCTCTCAATGCATTAATAACCTGGCCACTCAGTGTACTTACGTATAAGGGAAAGCTTGCAAATCTTGATATGCCAAGGGACCAGGAGATAGTGGTCCCCAGCCTCTGGCTAGTAAGTCCTCTGCTTCTTTCTAACTACCCACAATGCAGTTCTTATACATGGAAAAACCTTATTTTAAAATCCCAACTCTGTGGTCAGTCTACACTGAGTGGCCAGATTATTAAGCGTTCAGAGATCATAATAATCTGACCATTCAGTGTGTGTGTATGTGTGTGTGTGTGTGTGTGTGTGTATAATGTATGTATCTTTATAACATATATACACAATATAACATATATAATATATATAATATAACATATATATTATATATGTATCTATCTATATCTATATCTATATCTATATCTATATCTATATCTATATCTATATCTATATCTATATATATAAAGAATTATGTCCCTTTTAAAGAACCTTCTCCCTCCCCTTCCCTCCGGAAGTCACATACCTTGTGGAGCTTGTCAGCGTTGTCATAGTAACCCTGAAGTTCCTGGTGAAGCGCCCTGTTCTCCTCTGTCAGTATCTCCACCATCTGCTGGGCTCGCTCCACAATCGCGAAGGCGTCGGGGCCGAGCTGCTGGCTGGGGGAGGCAGCAGGCGGGGGCTGCGGGGCGGCCAGGGTCACCGGGAGCGGCAGCGGCAAGGACGTGGAGTGCAGAGGCCCGCTGACCGAGGAGTTCTGGGAGGACATGGGGCTGTGCTGCTGCACTGTTGATGGGAAAGGAAGCTGGCATGGGCGGCTGCAAGGGAACAGAAGACCAGCAATCAGACCCGGGGAAGTGGTGCAGGAGGAAGGAAGGCCCAACAGTATACACACATCGGTGCTTCCACGACCAGAGGTCATCAATGAACTTCTCAGTGCTCGGCTGAGGACAGCAGGTTCAGTCCTTCATGCCACAGATTTACTGCCTCCCTCTGAATCAGCATTGCCCTGGTCACTGGGGGTACAGTGAACGGGACAGATAAGGCCCTCCTCACGAAGCTCACAGTCTCAGGGAGAGGGACAGGCGAGCCACCAAACAACAAACAAAGCCGGGTACTCAAGAGGAATGAGCCTCTCCAAAAACTAAGCAGAGTGGTGGGACAGTGGGTGACTGAGTGGCTAGTTCACACTGAGAGGTCAGGGGAGGAGTCTGCGAGAAGCTGAGGCTGGAGTTGAAGTCTGAATATCAGACTAGTGGCTGTGGGAGGGAGAAGTGGGGAAGGGGTATTCCAAGTAGGGAATTGCTAGTGCTCGGGGCTCAGGTAGGGGTGAGAGTGGGCAAGATCGAGTAGAAGAATGCGATCTGATGCAAGCACGACCAACAAAAGCAGTAAAAGCTCAGACCAGAGGGATGGACAAGGGCCTTCTCAAGCCAAGGCCAGCCATTCCCTAGGGCAGTGGTCGGCAAACTCATTAGTCAACAGAGCCAAGTATCAACAGTACAACGATTGAAATTTCTTTTGAGAGCCAATTTTTTTTTTTTAACTTAAACTTCTTCTAATGCCACTTCTTCAAAATAGACTCGCCCAGGCCGTGGTATTTTGTGGAAGAGCCATACTTAAGGGGCCAAAGAGCCGTATGTGGCTCACAAGCTGTGGTTTGCCAACCCTAGGTTATACACAGAGGCCAGTGGAAAAGCCGCCTTTACTCTGACTTCGATACAGATGGTACATTGGTGGCAGGAATGGACAAAAGGCAACCGCGGAGGGGGCCTAGGTGAGACGAAGGCTCACAGGGTAGTAGTAGAAGAGACATATGGATGGATTTTATATATATCATGGATGAGGAAAGTAAGTGAGGAAAAAATATTACTCCACATAAACAGGGTACCATTTAATGAAATGGGGTGAGTCCTGGGGAAGGAACTACTTTTTTCTGTGTTTTGATTTGCTGGGATGAGGAGGTCTGGAAATCAAGTCTAATTTTAGCCATGTTGAAAAGAACACATCGAGGTGTCCCCTGGACCTTTTGAATTCCGGGTCTAGCTCTACATTTAAATCATGAATTTCCACTTTCTGTCTCCACTCCCTATCAAGCCCCCATCCTCACTCCTGTTAACCTGTTTCATAAAAACCATCGTCTTTGCTTTCAGCCTAAGCCAAGGCCTCCTAACAACAACCTTTACTAGTATAACAAACACAGCAAAGACAGCCTCAATGTCTCGCTTCCCAACCACAGCTGCCTCTCTTCCGCAGGCACTTGGGGAAATGAGATTTCTTTCTTTCTTTCTTTTTTTAAATATATTTTTTATTGATTTTTTACAGAGAGGGAGAGAGAGGGATAGAGAGTTAGAAACATCGATGAGAGAGAAACATTGACCAACTGCCTCTTGTACATACACACACACACACACACACACACACACACACTGGGGATGTGCCTGCAACCAAGGCACATGCTCTTGACTGGAATCGAACCTGGGACCTTTCAGTCCCCAGGCCGACACTCTATCCACTGAGCCAAACCGGTTTTGGTGAAACAAGATTTCTTGTTGATGCCCTCAACCTTCAGGTCTCAATCTGGGAACCGGGGCTCTCAGAATTATCAGCAACCCCCAAATCATCAACATTCTGTCTCAAAGGGCTGGGGCCTCTGGAGATCCAGCTACTTCTAATCCACAACAGCCAGCCCGTGTCACCTCCCGTTATGTGTGGCCATCCGTGGCCAAAGCTCCCAGGACTACCCCCCGTTTTCCCAGGAGGTGCTCTGGCCTTATATTTTCAAGTATTCTTGCTGGAATGTTTTTGGACCCTGCCAGCCTCCACATCTCACATTTTACAAGCATTTCTTGTAGCCAGGATTCCTCGGAGTGCTGGCTCCTGGCAGCTAAATGTCAAACTCTGGAAAGACAATTTGACAAGGGTCTCCTGAGCCCTCCCTATACAGATGCCCAGCTTTTCACAAAAATGGACACGGAATAAACCTGGCCGATCCTAACGGAATACTGACCACAGGCCTTGCCTCGGTAGGGAACTAACATTAGCAGCTCCACCTGAGCCGGGGGGGAGGAGGGGGTATTTCCCGACCGGATTTCTCACGCCTTCAATCTAGGAGCCCCTCCATGTCCCGTGAAAATAGCTGGGATCCAGGTTCCCCAAGGCAAGGTGCACCATGGAGCCGGTGTGAACCTTTAGTCCTTTAGTGAGCTTCCCCTTCCAGCCACCCTCAGATTTCAGAAAGGAATGCTGCCTGTGGGTGATGCAAGCTAAGGTGACCAGATGTCCCAATTTTTAAAAAATATATATATTTTATTGATTTTTTACAGAGAGGAAGAGAGAGAGATAGAGAGTTAGAAACATCGATGAGAGAGGATCATCCATCAGCTGCATCTTGCACACCCCCTACTGGGGATGTGCTCGCAACCCAGGTTCATGCCCTTGACCGGAATCGAACCCGGGACCTTTCAGTCCGCAGGCCGACGCTCTATCCACTGAGCCAAACTGGTCTCGGCCAGATGTCCCAATTTTTAACAATTTGTTCCGCATCCCGTGGCGGGACGTGGGACAAATTGTTAAAAATTGGGACTGTCCGCCAAAAGCAGGATGTCTGGTCATCTTTTTTTTGTTTGTTTTTTTTAAAATATATTTTATTGATATTTCACAGAGAGGAGGAAGGGAGAGAGTAGAGAGCTAGAAACGTCGATGAGGAGAGAAACATCAACCAGCTGCCTCTTGCACACCCTCCACCGGGGATGTGCCCGCAACCAATGTACATGCCCTTGACTGGAATCGAACCTGGGACCTTTCAGTCCACAGACCGACGCTCTACCACTGAGCCAAACTGGCTTCGGCTGTCTGGTCATCTTAATGTAAGCTCTCCCGCCCCTCCCCTATCACACAATGATCCGGCCATCTCTTTAGAAGTGAAACATGTGTGCATTTTGATGGAAATACATGTCAGCCCGTGTGCGGAAGGAGGTCTGTGCGTATGAGGTCCAACTCCATCCCAAGAGGGAAATGCCCCCCATGGCCCTTCACAATGCCTAGCTTTCACCCAGGTTCCCGGTACTCCTGTCTGGGGTGAGCCCACAAAAACCACAGATCTGTTACTGAAGGAGTGCATTCCTGAAGGCCGGCTAAATCCTGCCGATCATGTATCATGGAGAGAGGTTACCTTGGCAAAAGACACAATAACCACACATGACACTGCCTCGACTCAAAGGCAGACGCCATTTCCGCCTCCTAAGCCCCCACTTCATGCTGCGTCCAGTGCAAGGATTGGATGTGTCGGTCTCTTGGAGCTGAGGGGCCCAGGCGAGCCGACAGTCCTGGCTTTTCGAGCACCAGGGCTTCCCTCTGACCCATGCAGCTTTGCCAAGCTCAAGGGACAGGAAAGCATGGGCTTCTCCAAAGTGGGGAGTCTTCTGTTAAACAGAGAACACTGGCCTCACAGATAACTCAGTTACATAGTCAATGAACTCCGCGTTATAACGGACGAAGTGCAGGCAGGAGAGCAAACCCCTGTTCTCTGGTCCCCTACTCAGCCAGCCTCGGGCTTAAAGTGAATGCGGGGGAAAGAGTGCTGGGGAAGAATAGGAAAAAATTTCACACGAGATCATCCGCGTGCTATGAAAGAACCTATCCCCAGCTTCCAAAGAGAATGCTACTGATTAGCCACCAGTGGGATACGTACTTTACAGTAATGGGGACACAGAGAGAAGGGGAAGAGTGGGGACGGAATCATCATTTATTGAGAAACTACCTGCGAATAGAACTCCATGCTACCACTGTCTACTTTGTGAGTCTATTTCCCGTTTCGATTGTGAAGTCAGAGAGTTAGCTTATTGGGTATCATGCGTCTCCGTTTACTGAGACTAAATGTCATTTAGCCCACTGTTACAGGACTTAAGAAGTTAGTATTTACAAAGTAAATGTTGGACAAGTGTTGACTAATCATCACCATCACTATAATTATCATTTGTATCCCACTTCGGAGCCTGGCGCTGAGTGTGGCATGCATGAGAAGCCCAGTAAAAATTCTCTGTTACGGTTAATATTTACCAGGCACTTACTATTGTACATACAGTCCGGCCACTGTGGTACGCATGGCTACCGGTACATGCACCGTCTCATGTGAACTTACAGCCAGTCTCTCTGTTTAGATGACAAGAGCAAAGCATGGGATGGTAACTCTGTAACAGAGATCTTAGGAACATAAAGAAGCTCCAGGCCCTGGCTTCTTGACTCCAGGATCTATGCAGCTCACCACTGCCCTGAATTGGTGAAAGCAGAGGGGGCAGGCAGCCCCCTGTGGTCCTCTGTGCCTGGGTTCTTGGGGCGCAGTCTGAGTCACCATAACGATTGCCATGCAGGATGGATATTGATAATCCTCTTGTTTGGAGAAGTCACTCGTTTAATTCAGTACATCTGGAATTGCGTTATGTTTCCTGAGAAAGTAACCTGAACTTGACCCTCGCCTTTTGAAATTCCCATACTGCAGAGCTGTTTTTCGGGATAAACATGGCATTTGACTTGGCTCACCCAGCTATAATTCAGCTTAAAAAATTGGAGAAACTCCGGAGTTCTAATGCTGGTATTCAAAACACATGTTTAGCTGGTGGGATTTAAACAAGGCTCCGCGGCCTCGTTTTGTTATGGACAATGCATCGTTTTTCATCCCACGGCTGTGGGCCTGGCTTACCTTTTGGCCCCACACAGCAACTTATTTTCACAACTCTATAAACTGCAAATCATAACCCCCCACTTTGGTAATGTACACTCACTGCAAACATTCTCCTTCCTCCTCCAGCCATTTCCG